CAGGCCAGTGATCTATTGTACTCATGGGAGGAAAACCAAAATGGTGCAATTAAAGTTGGAACCAATATCTGAAGTAACTACTTTTTCCTTTTTTAATTATTAAATGGAAAGGTATTCTGAAAGTTTCAGTGGTTTAGAAGATGTTAGAGAATTATTTTGGGCTTATTATAGTTCAAAGAACCCTGGACTTGGAGTCAAGTCACTTGGCTCTAGTATCAGATGTGTTGATGTACAGTGTCCACGTGGGCAAGTCCCTTGGCGTCCCATAACAAATGTGTGTACCTGTGCAGTTTGGCTTGATCACAGATGATTAAGCTTCCAGGTATATATTAGCGTAAATAAACAGATGGTTTATTTAGCTTTAAATATAGGGCTACAGTGGTGTAGTTAGGTGACTGGGAAACTCTGTCAGTGCTGCCGGAGGCTGTGGGGTCGCCAGAGGAACTCTGCTCAGTCAGCCTGAGGAGTTTGTACGTCACTGTAGTCTGTCGAATTGGAGAAGCTGGAGAAGCATTAAGGGCCCGTTAGCCCTGAGTCAGCAGCTGTCCTCTGGGTTGCACAGCCATCCTTTCTCTTCCTTCTGGGTGTGTAATATCTACATTAACAGGAATGTGCAAAATGAAGAGATGTCATTTTAACAAGATGGCATGTTAAACTCCAACTGAATATAAGTAAAAATTCTCTTAACCAACCTCACTTTACCCCATGCACTCGTCAGTTCCTCTGTCAGTCCCATCCGACTATGCCCATGGCATGCTCATGGCATGTTTGCAGCTGAGAGGCTACTCTCTAGTATGCCAGCATACTTTTGTCCCTACCAGTAGAGCTGTGTGCTTACCAGGAATCAGTTATGCTTATTTCCAAAATTTTTATTACATTTGTGCCTACTCCATGACCTTAAGACCACTTATTGTTCCTGATATCCTTGAGAAGGCTTCCTGATATGTAATAGTTGAACATAGTCAATCTTACTTGTTGAAATTTAATCTGCTTACTCGTTTAGAGAACTGGGGGGGTTGGGGGAGGCGGGGGTTGCAGTTGAGCATGCTCTCCATATGAATTCCTGCTAATCCCTGCAGTGCTTCTTCTACCTGGGTTATCCTATCTTAGAAGTGAGAATGATGATTCTTCCTTTAAGTTCACAGAAGAGGGTAAAAATTTAAACAAGATATGGATATGAAAACACTGGGAATAAATGTGCTATATATTATAAATGCTGTAGTCTAATTATAATGGGGAGTCTATGACTCATAGTTTAAGAAAATACTCTTCTTAGACTCAAGTTTTAGGTACAAAATCAGATAATCCTTTTGCTTTTCTTATTTGGCATTTTGAAACACTATGGTTTGAGGAGCTTCCCAACTCAGGATAAACTAAACTAACCTAAACATAAACCAATAAGCTTAAAGTAAAATGTAAGATGGTGGATTAACTTTAGTGGTTTGGAAGATGTTGAGGATGTTAGAGAATTAGTATGTCTCAGGCCTTATGGGGTATTACAGTTTAAAGAACCCTAGACTTTCTTGTTTTCTTATGGTTGAGTAATATTGCATTATATATATGTACTACATCTTCTTTATCCAATCATCTGTCATAGGACACTTCAGTTGCTTTCATGTCCTGGCCACCATGAATAATGCTACTTATTTGATTTTATTAATCAATGTCACCTTAATAACTTAAATAAAAAAATTGAAGAACCCTAGATTTGGAGTCAGATTACTTGTCTTTGCTGCTCTGATCCTAGTCTGTTAATCATTGTTACATTTCATGGGGATTTTATAAAAGCGTTCTTGGACTAATAAAAGATGTACATTTGATTCACATAAAACCACTAGCTGTTTTTAGTTTTCTCAGTTTCTATGGATATTAACTTTTTTAGTTAACACTTTTCATCTTGGAAAATGAAATTACTTATGATTCTTAATTAAGTGCATATGGATTATTTTTTAATTGGTAATTAGCTTTTGGCAGCAGTGGTTTTAGTGTTGTATATACATATACACATACTTTGGATTCAGATGCACTGGCTCTACCACATACTAGATATACGACCTTTGGAAACTTACTTTAAACCTCTTTTTAACCTCCATTTTCTTATTTCTGTAAGAGCATGATAATATATACTTAAAGGGTTAATGAAGATAAAAAGAGGATGTGTGTGAAGTTTATGGGCATATGGCAAGTAGACACTCAGTAAATGTTCCATTTCTAGCTGTGTCAATTTTTAAATTTCATTCTGTATCACAGATAAAAGGAGGAAAACTTTTGTAAGTTATGCAGTAATTCACTTAATGTGGTAGGTCTGGAGACCATTTGCAAAGAAACAGAGTAAGAGGGAGATAGCATTTGCTGCTGTGAGCTTCTGTCGTTTCTAAAGTTCATCCATTTCTTAAGTACCGGCTGGTATTGTCAGATTTCTAGAATGTGAACATTTAATTTTATGTGGCCTTGGTACTGACTTTGAATGTGTGGCCAGCAGTGGGAGGGAGAGGAAGGAACCAGGTGAAGGCTATAAAAAGAATAAAGTTATTGTGATCATTTTGGCCCAAGTAATCTTTCAAAAGTAAGTCCAAGTAACGTACCACTTCTCTTTTACTACACAGAGATGGAGAAAAAAGACATTTACCTTAATGTTTAAAATATTTTCATCTTACTTTTATGGTTTGTTTCTCCAGCCGCTGTTCCATGCCTGGCTCACCTTTGTCGTTTGGAAATTCGGTCCAGTCTAAAACCACAACACCTACGATCTGACAGTTTTATCTGTCAGTTGCCACTTCCCCGAAGCCTACATAATTACTTGCTCTATGCAGAGGTTCTGAGGATGAATGAAGTTCCAGAACTGGCAGTTATTCAAGATGGAGAAATCAGCGAAGCTACTTAACTGAGCTCATGTCTTACTCTGAAAACCACCAAGACAAAGAGCCATGGAATTCAAAGTCTTCATGATTTTATGGTCACAACAGATGATTTTTGTTTGAATGGTTGGTTAGATTTGGAGGTGGGAGCAGTAGTTTAATGCAAATGTTTACAACTGGGCTTCCTGGTAAAAAAATATTGTAAACCTCACTCACATTACTCTATTGCAATTTCATCACCAGTACATTTTATGTTGTAATATTTACTTACCTAACCATTTTCTGCTTTATTCTGTTAATGAACTGTGATGCTGTTTGTAAGGCTAAATGTGGCATATTTCCACTTGTGATTCTGTATTTACATAGGACCAGATGCTTAGAATGGAATGTGTAAAACTTCACTGGAAGTGCACACAATGGGTTTGAATCTGTTATTTTATTTGAGATTGAATATCTCATATTTATAAAAGAATTATAGCTCATTCTCATCTCTTAATTCAGTCACTTTTATGAAGAATTGTTATTTATTGTTTTTTTCACAGGTAAACTCAGGGGAGAATTAAAAAAAGAAGAATATAGAAAATGCATCATTTTGCTGTTTTCTTTTTTCTTTCCAGTTCCTTGATAATCTCTGGCTAAAAAAGACTCCTTTTCTGCAAAGGCAAGAACAGACTTCACTTCAAAGATATGCTTAGTTGAGAAAAAAATTAGGTTGATATTGAGATAAATGAACATTTTGCCACATTTAGAATACTAATCAGGAGACTGGGAGGGACATTTCTGTGGTACCATCTTTAAAGAAAGAAAGGTATGTATTCCTGAGTCACTCAGTATCAAATAAAAACATTCAGGCTTCATTCAGCCTCCAAACCAGGGCAGCTTTGATCCTATGAAATAGTGATTGCCAGTTCTATTAATATTGTAGTGTTTTTCCTTTTTATTATCTAGATAGGTTATCAAATGGTCCATGAAATGTAGACCTCAGAGTCCTAGGTTAATGAGACACTGCCTCATTGATTTTATAATTGCTCAGTATGAATCTAGAGTCACAGAGGACTAAATACTGGATCAAGTGAGCTGTGATAAGAGGCTGTGGGGACCAACCTTGAGAGAAAGGTTATGAAAGCATTACCGACATAATAGACAACTAGTGATGGGGTCCAAAGGAGGGCAGGTCTTCTGTCCGGTTGGGGTCCTGTGGCTTAAAATAGATGGGGCGGGTCAGCTGGCTCCATCTCTGATAGGCTTTTGCTGTTTGATAAAAGCAGTGATGAAGGCAGACCAAATGATGGAGACGTTATTAAGGTCCAGACTGAACTCAGACAGAATAGAGCTATAATTGCTGCCTGTTGGGTGGAGATAATGTTTGAACGTAGGTATACAGGCAGAAGGGTAGATAGGGAAGCCAGATGGAAATGCTGATACTCAATGTAATAAAAAATTTCAATAATGTATGTATTATGTAGTATTTTTTAAATGTCCTAATTTTATTTTTCCAAATCTTAAGTCTTTAATTTTTAACATAACCAGTTTTTCATTAGGGCCAAATATACATAGAATGTTTACATTTGAGGGTGAATATTTTCATATGCTTTTGTTCATGTTCAAATATGTAATTCAAGTATCTATAACTTATTGAGCTCTTGTTTAAAAAATCTAAAAATTAATATTTCAGAGACATTTAAAAGTCTTTGGTATTTAAACAGATAATCACTTACTCTGTATAATGTATCTTTCTTTTAGACTATTTTATAATAAAATGTTTAGGAATTTTAGGACCCATTGCAAGGACTAAGTGAGAAATCTAAAAGTACCTAAAAGTAGTTGAGTTATAGTTAATAGCTTCTGATCAAAATGATAATTCTAGTTAGTGTGGACCTTAAGCCCTGCACTACAGGTGCTTTAACACTCTGTTTAAAGTCGCAGTGAGCCTAATGAAGAACCCCATATAATAGTTCTCTAATGGTGGTACATATTACCAGAGCAGGACACAAATCAGCTATAATAACAATTGCCAAGAGTTCACTCTTCTTTGGCTCAGTGTATCCTTTAAGTATATTTCCCACTGATTTTTCCTGTTACAGGATTTTTTTTCTGTGGTGATTCAATGTAAAGGCAGTAACCTGAACACTGTTTCTTTAAATTTCCATCTCTCTTTTGCCAAAGTAGCAAGTGTCTTGCTTGATGTACAGCTTCCCGGTGGCCATACTTCCTAGAGATCACTTACACTCCTTCTGGTCTCATGATCACCTGTGACAATGATAATCCTTGATAGGCAGCTTAAGTGTTATATGTCACATGACCAGTCGATATCTCTAACTTTATTTTATGTTTAGTATTATTTTTTAATCTCTAACTTTAAAACTGTTCTTCCTACCTAAGTCCATTTGTAAACCTAAAAATTGTGATGTTTTAGTATTATGTCAGGTATAGTTGAAGACATATGAATATTTTTTGATTGATTACTCCCTAAAGTTCTCTAACTTTGTTGGTCCTCAAAAAGTTATAAGTAGTAACTAATAAGAATATAAATAACTACATATCTTCTCTGGAACAGTGGACTTGATGGTTCCATCAGCATGGGATATAGAAAGAAATTGAGAAATTTCATCTAAAAGTTCACCTTTCACTTTTATACTCTTCTGTAGTCTCAGAGGTATATTCCCCTAATTGTATTTCTTAGTTATAGAAATATTTGTTTGAAGAGGAACTAACTCTTGGTATAATTATTGTCAGCAGGTGCTTAGTCTATTTTGGAAAGATTTTAAATGGTGAAAATGATTGAAGGGCTAGTGAAGTTGCTAGTAATGTGGCCTTTTTCAGTTTTATGATCCTGTGTTTTAGATCTAACAGTTTGGGGAAATAACCAGTAAAACTATGCTCTGCCTTTTTCTCATTTCATGAATTCATTCTCTTTGTAAAGCAAATGGCCACTCCGCCCACTGGCTTCATCCAAATACTCAATTTAAAGAGAATCTCTAAGCCAAAGAGATCTCTGAAGCTTTTCCTGTGAGCTGGGAACATAATAGCACCTTGGGTACTATTAATGCTCTTGAATTTCCTATACAAGGAAGCTTTTGCTTCCTCCCCTCTCTTATCTGAAGCAGCCAGTCACACATAACTGAGCTATTAAGACTAATATGTAGATGAGAGCCCAAACCAAGAGATTCCATTACTCATGGCTCCATATGACTTGGAGTAGTTACCTGAAGGATAACTGAGAGTGAGTGTACCTGCATTAGGAAAGGAGTGCTATATTCTATTTAGAGCTAATGTTGGCTGAGTTTACACCTGCACATTATCTGTGTAAAAAAGCAGTGTTTATGACTTCAGGTAAATATGGCCTATGTTTGAGGGCTTAGAGACTATCAATGGCAACTTGATTGTTTTTTTTTCTCTGTCCTTTTTTCATTTTTTATCAAAACATTTAAGGAAAATTTAATATTCCTTTGTGCGACTGTTGAGATTTCTTGTTTTACTTTCTTTCATTTTTCTCTTTGAGATAAATTTGTCTGTTTATCCTCCTCTACATTTATTATTATTGTTATTGTTATTAAATGATAAGTGGTTATTAAAGCATAATACCTTGCAGTAAATAAACTGCGTTTTTGTTGGAGTCAATGAAAATCTGTGGTTTTAATGAGACAGGGAACTGATTATGCTTAGTATTTTTGTCACATATCGTTAGAAAAATATATAGCCTTATTTGCAACAACATGTCAGTAATTTATACTGAGAGGAGGCCAGTACGAATTATACTTTTTAGGAAAACTTGTACTTTGAAACATACTTTGGGCACAGATTTTAAGTACATATCTTCATTTACTTTAGTGAATAAAACATTTACATTTTAAATAAAGGACATTTATTAACCTGCCCGATGCTAATAAAAATCTTTAAAAAATGTTTTTCATACCATTGTTGCAGTAAAGATTAGTATCTGCATGATTTTTCTGTCTCTTGGCTTCTTTTTCATGCATAGCACTAATAGTTGACACAGAACAGGTGGTCATTGCCATTGGCGCACTGAGACTTGTGAATAGCAGCTGTTTATGTCTCTTTTACCATCCAGTGGTTAGCAAAACCGTTTCACTGCTTTCCTATGTGTATGATAAAAATCTATCATGAGTTATTATAAGGTGCTAATTTACACTTTTTCTAACGATGGAATAGGTGAAGAAGAAAAGTCCATCTGGCGACTAGATACAACTATGATTTGAATCAAACAATTTAAAAAAGTCTAATATTTGTGAGGTTATTATGGATCACATAATGTGTCAAAGATATCAGTTGCAAGCCAGAGTAGTTCCATAAATAGACGTATTAGTAACGTTATAGTCTGGATTTTGGTTTTGACACTCAAAAAATGTTTATTTTAAAGAACAAAACATTCAATTCTTATGGTCTTTATCTTGCTTGTAATTATTTGGTTTTATTAAGCCCACTCTTAAATGTCATAGTGTGATATATATGTGTGTTGATCCACACCAAGATGGCTCACTCGCATGGCTGTTTCCTGGAGGCCTTGATTCCTCACCACATGAACCTCTCCATACAGCTAGCTGCTTGAGTCTCTTCACATGTCAGCTGGCTTACCCTCGAGCAAGTGGTCTTAAAAGATGGAGCAAGGTGAATGCTACAGTGCCTTCTGTGATGTATTCTTGGGAGTCACCGTTATTTCCAACATGTTCTATTAGAAGCGAATCCCAAAGTACAGGTTATTATATTCAAGGAAAGAGAAACTAGTCTCCACCTTTTAAAGAGAGGAGTATCAAAGAATTTGGAAACATCTTTTAAAACCATCACATTTTTATTACTTGTAAAACGGTAGTCATATGTAGAGAAGGACTGGCTACATAGTTTACAGGACCCCATGCAAAATAAAAACGTGGGATCCCTGTTCAGATTTCAAGATGGGGAAAGCAGAGCGTTCAACCAAACATGGGGCCCTTTTGAACACAGAGTCTGTGTGATTGTGCAGATGATACCCATGAAACCAGCCCTAGATAAAGAGGCTTGCTCAGGTTCAGATTTGATACTCAAATTTTACATAGTGCTTCATAGATGTTGAATACTCTTTTAATGATATTAGCCATTGGTGATCATTAGCTAGATCTATCCGTTATAATTTTATTTATTATTGTAATACTTTCAAAAAGAGAACTTCCCTTAATTAACTATGTGGTTACCCTGGGGTCTAGTACATATAGGAAAAATAGTAAAATGCTTGATTCTTTTGGATAATGAGTTGATTCTCTAATGTCCTTTGAAGATCAGTACTGAATTTAGTATTAATAACAGGTTTTTAAATGTGTTCTAACACATTTTAGTTATTACCCTTATTGATACTCAAATTGTCCCATCTTTAACTAGGATTTAAGTAGTCTTTGATAACTTTTTTGTTTTCTGGTAATAAGATATTCCACATTTATCTTGTATATTTCCTTCCTCAGACCTGGAATCAGCCATTTTTCTAAAATCTTTGATAACTTTTTCAGAAAGGGTATTAGACTATATTTTGTATCTCTCTCTCTCTCTCTCTCTCTCTCTCTCTCTCTCTCTCTCTCACACACACACACACACACACACACACACACACACACACACAGAGTAATCTTGACATTAGGGTGTTTTCATCTCTACTGGTTGGACCATTGTTCAGTTAACAGAACTAAGAAATATATAGTCTATTTGTATTTGATACTTCAAATTCAAGACTACACTTTTTAAATTCAACTTCAGTGATCTTACATCTGTGTATTTCCTTTTGTATATGTTGAAACTTCCACTTCTTAATGACACTAATAATTACCTGTTTGTTTTATACAAGATTCTCACACACTAGTCTCAATAACAATTTCTATCCTACCATCAATAATACTAGTGAAAACAGTTTATCTCCCCCTCTCCAATTCTTTTTGCTATTTAGTTATATCTCAGGAGGAGTGTAGTCAAATTTCTGTTTTAAAATCACTTGAGTGCACAGGATTATGTGTTTCATTTTCATTTTATCTTTTAGGGATTTTTAAATTTTAATTTTGCTTTATAACTATGAAAAATATTTACATGGTTCCAAGTTAAATGTACAGAAAAAAAGTATATTCAAAGAAATCTGACTTCTATCCCCTATTCATCCTATTTCCTTCTGCTCCTATAGGAAGTCTTTTTATTGTCTATAGGGTTTTTTTTTTGTTTATTTTAACCATATGCCTATATTCTCAAAGCCCTTCCTTTGATAAGCAGAAGAGTAATGCATACAGTTTTAACCATCTTTGCTTTTTTCACTTAATAAATAGTTCCATAATATTATATATTGTCCTTGTTTCTTTTTACAGCAACTGTGCAGATATACTAAAGTTTATTTAACCTTTCCCTATTGATAGACATTTAGGTTATTTCTAGTTTTGTGCTATTATGAATGGTACTGCAATGAATAACTGTGCTGTTTGTATGTTTACCAGTATAGAATTGGAGGATTCTTTGAAGTGGGATTGCTGAGTCAAAAGGCATATACGAATTTGCTAGAAATTGGCAGTTTCCCCTCCACAGGCAAATAGTCTATATCAGTAATGTCTGTGAATGCCAGTAGAGAAAGTTGTCAGACATTTGGCTATTTGCCAGTTTAATAGATGGGAAATATGTGTCAGTATAGTTTTCGGTTTGCATTTCTCTAATGAGCAAGATGAGACATCTTTTAATATTGGTGGGAGGAGTGGATCCAATTTTAATGATTTCTTTGTGACTATCAAGTTATCCTAACATTTGTTAGAAAATCTATCTTTTCTCTACTGATTGAGATACTACCATTAATTGACACTACATTTCATCTTTTCCATTGGCCTGTCCTCTGCTTACGTACCTGTACCAAACTTAATTATAGACATAATTGACTAACTCCTCCTTGTTGCTCTTTTCTTTGACAGTTTATTGCATTTATTTCTCCTTATTTGTTCTTCCAGTTAAATTTTTAATAATAATTTTTGCTCCAGTGACATTCCTTACAGTATTCTTATAGGGATTTTGCTAAATTAACTAATTAATTTAGAGAGAGCATCCATCTGTATAATGTGTCTTCCCTATGCAAGAACATGGTTTGTCTTCCCTGCTGTCCAAATCTACTTTTGTGTATTTCAGGAATATTTTTTGGTTTTTATTTATTTCTCATTGTTTTTTGTTTGTAGGTGTGAGAACTGTTGATTTTGTATTAATTTTATAACTTACCACTTTACTGTTTTTCTGCTTTTAGTATTTTTTTCCCATCAATTTCCATTGGTTTTCTATCATTTTTTCAAATATTTAATCATGCCATCTACAAATAGAGATGTTTCCATCGTTTTTTCAGTTCTTAAACCTCAATAATTTCTCCTAATTGTATTTGTTAATTACTTCCAACCTTTGAAGAGCTTCCGGATTGGTGAACACCTCAAGGTGCTGGGAGAGTGGCGTACCTGGAGAAGGTATGGAAGTTCTGTATCCCTTCCCATGTACCTTGCCCTATGCACCTCTTCCATTTGGCTGTTTCTGAGTTATATCCATTATAATAAAGGAGTAATAGAAAAGTAAAGTGCTCTCCTTAGTCCTGTGAGCCATTCTAGCAAATTATTGAACCCAAGGTGAGGTTGTGGGATTATAATTTAGGATAGGCCTTGATTGAGTCTTAAGTGGGGACATTCTTGTGGGACTGAGCCCTTAACTTGTGGGATTTGACATATACTCCAGATAAACAGTGTCAGAAATGAACTTAGTTGTAGAACACCCTGCTGGTGTCAGAGAATTGGTTGGTGGTGTGGGGGAAAAAAACTTCACACATTTGGTGTCAGAAGTGAAATATTGAGAGTAGTGAGAAGAAAAAACAATGTTTAAATAAGTAGAGTAGAAGGAAAAAAAATTTTTTTTCTATTAGTGTTGGCTATTCTGGATTAATTTTCCCAGGTGTGTGATGTGTCATTTTAATATACAGACTAAAGGTTTTTGTTTCTTTTTTGTAATTTTTTAGTCTCTATTCCATTTCTTTGGTTCCTTTCTTCAGTTACCCTCATTGTATGTATTTTGTATCTACTTTTTTTAGCCTTCCACATCCATCATTTTCTCTCAAATTATTATATTTTTTTCCTTTTGAATTAAGATTTTTCTTTTTATATTTTATTTCTCAAAGTATTATTGATTGTGTGTTTTTGTTGTTGTGTTTCTTCTGGTTTAGTCTTTATTTTTGAAATTATATTTTTCTTTAAAATTATAAATTTTTTCTAATGCTGCTTTTTTCCCCCCAGCCCTTCATCTTAATTTCTTTTAGCTCATTTTGAAATATAAGGTGATAGTTATCTGTTTGTGGTCATCTCTCTCTAGCATGCTCTTATTGTCTGTGGGGATCTATTCTTATTGTCTTTTATTCTTATACTTTTTATTTGATTTCACTGTTTCTGTTGCTTTTTGTGTAAAATAGATATTTTCCAGTGTACTATTTTCCTTTGTCATTCCTTTTACTATATGTTTTTAAATTATTTTCTTAGTGGTTGCCCTGGTGATTATAATTAACATAAATATGACAATCTAGCTCAAATTAATACCATCTTAATTTTAATATTATATAAAAACTTTGCTCCTGTATAGCTCCACCCCTTTCTTTGTATTATACAAATTAAATCTTTATACATTGTGCGCTCATCAATGCAGATATATAATTAATGTTTTATTCAGTCATTTTTTAAGCAGACATAAAACAATTACGTTTTTAAGCAGACATAAAACAGAATTACATAAAAAATACATTTATGCTGTCTTTTATATTTACCTGTGTAATTATCTTTACCAGTGCTCTTTATTTCTTTGTGTGGATTCATTTCAGCTTGAAGGATTCCCTTTACTATTTCTTGTAGGGCAAATCTAGCAATGATTTCTCTCAGTATTTGTTTATCTGGGAATGACTTAATTTCTCCACTTTTTTCAGA